CCCCTTTTTCCCCCCCCCCCCCCCCGCTCCGGCTGTGGTATGTCCTCACGTCAGTGTTCCCACGTCTAATGCAAGTAATTGAACCTTGCATAGACGTAATTACGTCAGCAGGGCTTAGGCCACTGGAGCCCCGGGGCGAAGAGGCTGCGTGGACCAATCTAGCAGCCAGGGGAGGGAATTGAGGATCAGGTTCATATAATTTCTTTATTTGCGCCCCTATACCAAAACAAGCAGTTAACCTTTGTAGTTAAATCTTGTCAAGGCATAGAAATTTGAAATAGCATGTTTTCTTTTCTGCTGAACAGTTCTACTATAAGCCGATGGTCGCTAAAGCGACCATCAGCTTATAGTAGAACTGTAAATGCCAGGTCCGTATGGCATACTGAGCTGGCCAGCTGGAAGCACTTTTGTAGGTCCGTATGCCATACGTCCTTGGCAGCGAAAGGGTTAAACAAATAGGCAAAGTTGAGAGTCGGATCTCCAGGAAGAAACACAACCTTTGTATTTCTTTCCCAAAGGACAAGCCGGCTGTGGCTGCCCACATTTTTCTCTCCTTTTCACTGTTCTCATTCTGTAAGAATCACTGCACACATACCTGTTCCAAGTGGTTGCCAGCTTCCCTCTATCGTCTTCATGGTAGAACTCAGCTCCTTCTCCATCTCCTTTTCAAAATCATCCTCACTGGAGGACTCGCTCTCACCAGTCAGACATTCCCGAATAAACTTGCGTTTCTGATCAGGTGTTCCATGTAAGAGCACATCTAATTCATCTTCAGAACTATGGAAAGAGAACACAAAATGTCACCAAATACTAGGGCTGCAGCTAACGATTATTTTCCTAATCGATTAGTTAGGCGATTATTAACTTCGATTAATCGGATAGATTAAACAAAAATAATACTGTCATTTATTTAAAATAAAATACACAAATGCAGCTTTACAGACCAAGTTTACTTGAGAATAAAACGGTATGCACATTGTTTGTAGTCGCAAACGGCATGCGGGCAATCACACTGCGGACGGGAGGTACATTTGGGATCCATTGAATGAATGGCACCGCACCTCCTGCAGCAACATTTGTCAGGCCAAAGCTGAATATGACTTTTGTGTGTGTGTGTGCGTTTTAATAAATGTATGTATTATATTAGACATTTTAATTAGTTTCATTGCCTGCTGTCAATCAGCAGAAGAGGGACATGGAGAAAGTTATCCATCAGGTCCTCATCTGATTGACAGAAGGCAGTGGGTGGGTGCAATAGCCAGCCTGCTATTGGCTATTTTATTTTTAAAAATCCAATAGCAGGCTGGGTATGGCTCCCAGCCTCTAGTTGCAACGGAAGCATGGGACCGGGGCAGAGGAGGAACGGATTGGCTGCTGAGGTAGGGGGGGCAGCGGGGGATTGCAGAGTCACAGGGTCTCTCCTCCCCACTGGTGCCGGCTGCAGTGGTCTGTGCCCCCGCTGCCTCTGCCGACACACCCAGAGAGATCAGCGGGGATTGAAAGAGACACAGACTGCTGCAGCCAGCACCAGCGGGGAGCAGAGCTGAGGAGCAGAGCGGTGGCTGTAACTAATCGAAAAGCAACTAATCGATGATGAGAATCGTTGCCAACGATTCTCATCATCGATTATAACCGATTTAATCGATTAGTTGTTGCAGCCCTACCAAATAAAAACACTTTCTAAAGCATATTACTGTTCGATAGAGCATAATAAATACAGGTGAAACTCGAATAATTAGAATATCGTGCAAAAGTAATTGCAGTAAGTGCCGCAAAAGGGGCCCAAACCAAGTACTGAGTACATATTGTACTTTTCAGAGGTCCGATATTGTTCTATGTACAATCCTTGTTTTATTGATTGCATGTAATAATCTACTTTTTTGAGGTTGTGGATTTGGGGTTCCTGGGGTTTTCATGAGCTGTAAGCCATAATCATCACAATTATGACAAATCACAGCTTGAATTATCTTGCTTTGCATGTAATGAGTCTATCTCATATATTAGTTTCACCTTTTAAGTTGCATTAGTGAAATAAATGAACTTTGCACGATATTCTAATTATTCGAGTTTCACCTGTATATACAAATCAGAGGCGTGTGCTACATTTCTTTGCACCCCAAAAAAGTATTTCAATTTTTTTCAGCAACTTGAATCATGCACAGGCCTGTCATAACTTTGGGACCACAAGAATTTCCATTTGCACTCAAATATCACCACAATCAAAATCCCATTCCAAAGAGCCAATATGAAGGCAGTGGCACCTTTGTAATGACTTTGTGGAAGGGGAAGAGATACAAGATCGTTTTGCACACATCTTAACACTGGAGCATTCAGCAGAAATAAGAATTCAGTGGCAGATTCAACACACCAGAACACATTTAAAAGTAAAATACAAGTTTAGGCTAGATCATCCTGCAAATAATTTACACCTGCTATTGGCACGTTCTTCATCACTGGGCTCTTCAATTGGATAAGCATCATACTCAGGTTGGAAGGGGTTCATGGTGATACCGAACTGGTGTACAGCATCAGAGGTGCTCTGCTACTTTAGCCTAAAGGTAGAAGCATATGTCCAGTCATTAGATGTAAAATAAAAAGATGACTATTTTACTATCAATAAACCTGTGTTACAAGGTGCCATTGCTGTAGGGAAACAAAAATTGGAGACGGAAGCGCCACTACCTAGCGCAATAAATGTGGTAGAGTGGGGTGTAAGCGTAAGTGTTGTACTCACCTGAGGCTGGGTGAGTATTCGCTTGTAATCGTCGGGTTGCAGTGAAGCGGATGGGGTGGAGTGGTGGTGGTAGTGGTCCCTCTTTTTCAGGGTGTTATCCCTACAGCACACGTGTTGGACACCCCGGTCCAGACAGAACGGAAGCCGCACACCTACGCCACCACCCCATTTCCCCTCCCGTACCTATACCTACCATACTACAAGCGTTAACCGGTGTACCCATCAAGTACTGCCTCCCTCCTCCGCAATTTCCCCGTACCTCTGACAAGCGCCATACAAGGGGTAAAACTCTCAATTTTTCAAGGTGCCATTGCTGACCTTCTGACAATTTTAGTTGCCTGGCTGTTATTTCGACTTTGACTTTTTCTGAGTCCCTGACCAAGAGCCAGTAAAAGCAACCACCACAATCTGTTTACGTTAATGCCCGACTCCAGCCAAAACCTTTTTTTTTTATGTTTGGGACAGAGTGGGCAAGTGACCGAACCTTTGCTAGGTTTTTATTTGATGTGTCGTTGCTGGGGAGATTTTCCTTTTCTAAAAGAAGAAGAAATATCTCCAATGGGTGCAGGAAATAGGAGGAGATTGCCTCACTGGGGACAGAAAGTGACAGGAAATTGTGCCCCCAAGGACAGGAAGTGATGGGGGGGGGAAAAAATCACTCTATGGGGACAGAAATTAATTGAAGAAAATCACATAATAAAGACATGAAGTGATGGACAACACCACCAAGGGGACAGGAAGTGATAGGAAATTGCTCCTTGGTGGCTGGAAATTACAAGGAATCCATCCAGTGGGAACAGGAAGTGATGGGAAATCGGTCGAGTGGTGACAACCCTTTTTCCAGTTAAATGTGGAAGAAATAGATCCACTGTCAGATTATTATTACTGCCTGTGTGTTCCTGTCCCTGTGACAACTGTTCCCCTCATTTCTTTCTTTCATTTCTCCCTGCTGTCACCAGGGACAGGAAATGAAGGGAAATCTCCCCAGGGAATCACAGACACATACACATAACAGAAGTTTGTTGTTCTTTCCAAGTATGTCCAAAACTTAAAAAAGGTTCTGGCTGGAGTTGACTTTAAAGTGGATATAAACTGGTTGGTGGGGTATGGTATGGTAATTATAATCAGGAAGTAAGCACAGTATGCCTGCAGAGTGCAGACGATGGCACACACCAACCTGTGACGGCGTCCCCAACTGACAACATCAACAGTGCCAATTTTTTTGGGGGGGCTCCATGTGCACAGGAGTTACATTGTCTGGTTGTATTCTCGGCATGCCAATAATAGAGCCAGGAAACATCAACCTCCAGGTGACTTTTTGTTGTAGTTTCACTTTAATGTAAAGACAGTAAAATGTGTATGTGAGCTGCTGTTGCATCCCACGACACAATTATAAATCACTGATGATAACTACAAACACAGCTGGATAAGCCCGCTGAGTCTTCTCAGATACTCCGTACACAGCTATAAACGTCTTGACACTGTAGGCAGATAACGGTGTAATAGCAGTGAATAGTATACTATACCTCCGCCAGATCCGGTGTACGTCCCGGTGTTCAACAAATTCTCGTTTAGGCCACCATCGTCGCAGGTTAATTACCTAATAGAACCCGGTCACATAAGATATGACGTAAGAGGAAATGCTCCGTCTTCGGAGAGCGGCGGTGTGCGCATGCGTAGAGATAGGAGTTGTGTTATAGCCGCTATAGAAAGTGCGAAATGGTGTAGGTGCTAAATTGGTGATTTTTGTACATTAAACCATCTGAACGCTCTGCGGGGAACAGGAATACACGCATGGCGAATCCAGCAATAAAATATCTAATTGACTGTTTGCTCACAAATGATGTTCTATGGGCAACACGACCATGTACACACTACACTCCCTAAGGAGAATGTTAGAGCTGCAAGTATGACTACATTGAAGTTAGGACTCCCATCCTGCGTATCTGTACCAGGTCAAAGCAAGGGCAACACTTTCCCATGCAGTGTTGCCTCATTGCAGTAGGCTTCCTCCAAGTTGTGTGACTGGTCTTCTGAAGCCTCTTCTGTACTCCGGCTGGTGGTTGAACTCTGACACCATCACCTAGAATGCAGGCCCAGCAGTAGGGTTACCACCTTTTCTTCAAGTAAAACCCGAACACGCTAGCGCTGCATGCGGCAATTTGTTTTCTTTAAGAATATAGAGGAGGGGCAGCCAGGAGAAAGAGCAAGAAGAGACAGCCAGGGAAGGGAGTAAGGAGACCGGCTATAGAGGACTACAAACCCCAGTAATACCTTATACAATTTAATATAAATACAAATGAATATGAAGCTACATACTCTGCGTTGTTTCAAGGTGGCGCCCTGATGTCTCCAGGGTTTCAGGTGGCCTGTGAGGGTTCTCACCAGGGCTGTGCCAGCTCTTAGGCGGACTCTGGAGGCTGGCAGGTGGGCTATGCCGTCTCTCAGATGGCTGTGTGGGGGTCTTAGGTGGGCTCTCAGATGGCTGTGTAGGATCTCAGGTGGGCTCTTAGATGGCTGTGTGAGGTCTCAGGTGTTCTATGCAGGCTTTCAGGAGTACTGTGTGGGAAGTGCAAGGTTCTCACCTGGTGTCCGGAGGTGGGCAGTTTTCTGTCAGGAAGGAGGCGGAGGAGATGGGTGGGCCAGTGCCTGTTTACAGGCGCCCGTGGATCACTGGAATATGCAGCTGCCTGAGGTCCTGTGCTTGCTGGGGACCTCAGATAGCCGCATCTGTCCAAAAATTTAAAGTGCGGGTATTGGCACTTTGTGTCCGGGTGTCAGCTGGACACAAAACTCAAAAACCGGACTGTCCGGGTGAATCCCAGACAGGTGGCAACTCTAGCCAGCAGTCATGCATTGTGCATGAGGATAGTATGGGCCTGAAGCATCAGAGAGGAGAGCGCTGGAAGCCAGCCCAAGCAAGGAATAGTGTACTAGGCCTGCTTCACACCATGGCGTTCTTCACACACATTCATGTGTTTTTGTGCTGCGTTTGCCATGCATTCCCCATTCAGTTCAATGAGGTCCTGAGCGCAGGGCAAAAAGAGCTTATGTAGTAAATTCTGCAACATGTGTTTCACACTTTTGGCTTCTGTGTTTGAGCACACTTTAATATGCACAAACAGGGAGCAAAAGCACATGCCTTTTGGCCACGTTTGGGGTGCCATTCGAGATGAATGGCAATGCAACTGTGTTTTTCCACATTTTCATGTCACACGTTCACAGAATGCCATGGTGTGAATGTAAGCTTACGGCTTCTTCCTCTACTTCAAGACTTAAGGTGCCCATACACTGCACGATTCTCGTACGGGAAATCCCGCGATCGTACGAGAATCGTGCAGTGTATGGAAGGCGTGCGGCCGTCTCTACTGTACGGTCGCACGTCTTCCATCAAACCAGCAGGCTAGAAAACCCGCTGAGAATCGTACGATTCTCGGCGAGTTAGTGGCCTGCTGGTTCGACAACTGCCGAACGGGGCGGTGTGCGCATACAGCCCGTTTGCAGTCATCATACGCCCGCGCCTCAGGGGGGCGGGCTTGCGATGATAGCAAGTACGATCTGCCTGTCCAAGATGGGCAGATCGTACGTTTTTTTAAAGTACTTTACAACCCTCGCAAGACAAAAGTCTTGCGAGGGTTGTAAAGTGTATGGGCACCTTTAGGGCTACGTTTATACCTATTCTTTAGGTGGGTTAAGGGATTCCTGCAGAAGGAATCCCAAATCTGCTGTTTACAAGCAGCAGCTGTCACCTGTTGGAAGTTAATGAACGGGTAAAAGTGGCTACACCGCACGTAATTGTATGTGATCTGATTACACGCCGTTAGGAAGAGATCACTATCGCTGGACGCACCATCAATGCATCCAGGGTTAGTGATTTATTCCTAAGTGCATGTAATTGTATCACATGCGATGTGCCAGCATTCTGCTACTTTCAAATGCAGCCACATTAACTTGAAAGGTGACAGCTGCTGCTTGTAAACAGCAAATTAGTTATTGCAAAGGGTTTTTTTATTTATTTATTTCAGAGTTCAGCTTCAATTTCTGGCTAGCAGAGGTGCCTGGATCACAATACCAACTGAACAGAATTACTAATGCAGAGCGGTGAGGAGAATTTGGTTTAGCTCTGCAGATTGTGGTATAAATCAGCTCCATAGAGAAACTTTACAATCCTGGGCAATTCCAACTGAACATAAGATAAAAACAAAACACTATCTTCAGTATAAATGATCAGTAAATCCAGAGATGTATAATAGGGATGTGCCGATACCATTTTTTCAAGACCAAGTACTTTCCTTCAGGTACTCACCGATAATTTTTTTTAAAGGGACATGTGACATTTTTTTTCTAAAACAATACAGATTAATGATTTTAGGGCAGTTTCTCACCAGGGCTGCATGTGGGTCTCTCCAGGTCTCTGTGGGCAGGTGCTGGGCTGAAAGGGTGGGTGGTGAGCTGAACATCCCAGGTGCCGACTCCAGTGCTGTATTTGTGGCGTGGGGCTGTCCAGAGCAGTGCCTGCTCCGGAAAGGAGATGTGGGACTGGGCAGGCACTGTTAAAGACAGCTACTGCCAGGTCCTCAGCCAGTCTCTATCTGAGGTCACCAAAAGCGCGGGACCTTTAAAAATGTAGAAGGGCTGGTATCAGCCTTTTGTATCGGGGCATTTTCACAAGTACCAGTACTCGTGAAAATGCCCTGCATCGATACTAGTATTGGTGTTGGGACATCCCCCAGCTATGCGGTACCCATTATGATTGGTAGATGCCGGATAACTGTAGTTTCTGGTTGCTTGAGAAGTACTGTTAACTCTCAA